CAAAGGTAGACTTTTTGTCAGTTTTCGAATTTCTGAATTATCTATCATAATTGGAATCCTGAAAACTGTTCCCAATATTTCAAATTTCCTGAATATTGCATCACTTTTTTTTTTTTTTTTTTTTTGTGTGTGTGAATTAAGACATTATTTCTTTTAAGAACTACATACAGGTGAGGGTTGAAAAAAAAAATTACTAACACATGGAAAGGTACAAGTGATACTTGTAACCCTACTATAGACACACTTTCACTCTCATGTATTTGTAATTTTTTTCCCCAACTCTCATCTATATGTAATTTCCCTTTTCTTTTATCTTTTTGTCTTTTTTTAAGTTTTCCTTCGTCTTTCGTTAAAAGTTTTTTACCACTAATAATATATAGAGAGAATTACATACCAGTGGTATGTCAAAAAAAAAAAATTATAAAAAAGTGATAAACTTTGTAAATATTAATAATTTATGTAATAATTTTTCAAAATTCATCTTGACTAGTAATTTCTTCTAATATATAACTATTTGACAATGAGCCTCGTACAAAAAAAATCTATTATATTATACTTATCTAATGCATGCTATATTTTTCTATTATGATTTTGTTTGAGTATTGTGGATTTTAATTTCTATAAAATGCATACAAAGGTATGTACTGTGCTAGAACCACAAACCACATGTTTTACATTAAAGTTTTAAGTCAAACATTATAAAATGATAACTATAGAAGAAGACATATATATTTTGAAATAGGCATCTATACTTTGTTTTTTTTTAATGCTATGAAATGTATGATTTTCATTTTTTTTTCTCTTTCCACTAGTTTGCTATTGACTTCATGAAATGTTGTGTTCGTAAATATAAATTTGACTAACAAAGCATTTAACTTGGTTCAAACGTATCCCATAATTTAAATAATAAAATATAAAAAATAAAAAAAAAACTCGGTTCAACTATAATACATAATTCTATTTCTGAATTCTATTTGGTGTACACTTTGATTAATGAACTTGATCTAGAAATTTTGTCAATTTGTGTCACTAACATAATTTCTTATATCAACCTTTTATAAAATGTTATAAAATTGATGCTACTAAATTACATTTTTGTTGTAGTAATATGACACTTTTTTATTGAAATGCTACTAGAGCCTTTTATGTTTGTGACTCCGTGACATTTTTCTTAAACGTGCCACCAAGTATTATTTTTGTGGCATTTTCTAAAAGCATGCCACTATTATTAGGGGTGCAACTTAAGCGGGTTCAACCCGAGCCCAAACCCAACCCAAATGTTTTTAGGACTCGGACAATATAATTTTGAATTCGTTACGGCTTGGACAAAAATTTAGAAACCTGAATTAAATTTAGGTGGACTTGGACAAAGGCATCAAATAACCTGAGCAACCCAAAACCCGAATTATACATATATAGATATATAAAAATATTAAATATATAAATTATTAGTCATTATAAGATATTAAAGTAATTTAAATTATTAAATCATATAGAATATGTATTATATATACAAGTAACATTAATTTTCACTCATAAGTTGTAAAGACTACCATAGCGCATCTCTCTTACATTATATAAATTATTTACTTCGATGTTATTAATGATTTTCTTTTTAAAAAAAATGTAAATATAGTCTAATTTTAATAAATTAATAATTTAGCTGTAAAAAAAAATCTAAAATTCATGTATAGTTTGGGTAACTTTGGCAATTTGGGTTTAACTCGGATCTGATTTGGGCAGACAACTTTGAGTTACAATTCAAGCATGGGCGGACTTCAGCACAATTTGGGTTGGGCTTAGATAATCTCCCAATCTAATCGAACCTGCTCGAGTTGCACCCCTAACTACTATAGTGCCACTAAAATGTGTTTTTGTTGTAGTGGAATGTTGAGTCCAGAAGAAAATTGTAAAAGATACAACAAGACAAATGAAGCATCTAATACAGAGAGATATTGTGTGCTTTTCTTTTTCATTGTACTTGGTTTTTACTTTGTTTTGATCACTAAGAGCATCTCCACTTGATATGTCAAATTCAATATGGCAGTTCAACAATTTTATTTTGACACGAAGAATGAAATCCACCCGATATGCCAAATGCTGAGTTCACATTCGACATGAACTCAACATATCAAATTTGGCACGGTCCATGTCGATGTCAAGTGTTGAGTCCACCCAATCAAATAATTTTATTTTCAAAAATAATAGAATAATAGATTTGACATATCAGGTGGAGAGTTTCTATATCAAATTGACATATGCCAATTTCCCACTTAAGCCTTCAAAAAAATTTGGCACACCAAATTTTAAAAGTTTGGATGGAGATGGTCTAAGAGTTAATAATTTGACAAAGTATCTAATACTAAAGAGATATATCTCATGCTATTCCTATCCCATATTGTGTAATAGCAATGAGGAGCTTATAACAAAAATGTAAGAGAGCTAAGAGAACAATTTAGTAAAGAGAAATGTTGCATATTTGATTCCCACCTCTTTCTTTTTTATTGTAGTTGTTTTGATTATTAAGAGTTAACAATTTGACAAGGCATCTAATACTAAGAGACATATCTTATTTTTAAAAGGTAATTTCTATCCCATATTGTATGATAGCGATGAGCTACTTTAACTCTGATTGTGATGAAGGAAGGGATCCTCTTTTGCTTTTTCTTTTTCTTCTTCTTTTGATCACTAAGAGTTAATTAGGGAAGGCATGTGGTACTACAGAAACATATCTTGATCTTGTGTCTCACAATTGATCTTTGTTCAGTACCATGTAGTAGTGAGGAGTTACTCCAATTCTAATAGTGTGACCAGGAGACTCCATTTTTTCCTTTTGATTTTTCTTTTACTACTTTTGATCATTAAGAGTTAATTGTTAAACAAGGCATTTGATACAAAAGAGATATTTCATGCGTTACAATGGGAATCATATCCTGTATTGTGTGATAAGAGTTAGTTATTTGACAAGGTATTAAGTACAAAATTGAAAAATTTTGTTTCACTTGAGATTTTAGTCTCATTTTATAAGGTAGTGATGAGTTATTCTAGCTCCAAGGTTCTGAAAAGCGGTTGCGGTCGCCGTAACGGTGGTGGTGACGCGGTTGCGGTTGCGGGGTGTAAAGGCCGCAGTGTAACGGTTGCGGTAACCGGAACTGTGAATTTTTTTATTTTTCGCACAATTTAAAAAAAATTTACCGATACGCATATTTTTTTTCCATGATCATATTTATTGGGTTAAAAATAAATATTGATCAATTTTTGTAAATTTTTAAGTATGATCTAATATATTTCATATTTTTAAATCATTATAAACTAAATTTTTTACATTTTATTTTAATAATTAATAACTTTATATTATACAAAAAATCAATTAATAACTATTATATATAAGATAAACAATGACAAAAGTAAGAGAATAAATAAGAGCCTAAATATATACACACATTTTAACCAAACTAAATAGATAATGACCACACTTATTATTATTATTATTATTATTATTATTATTATTATTATTATTATTATTATTATTTTCAAACAATATATAGATAGACACACAAACAAAATGGTTTAGTGATAGCAGCTGAATAGAATAGCATAGGTCTTACAGTTTCAACAAATCAATAACATGTTCTTCATCTTCCCTCTTCTCTCTCTGTATCTCTTGCTCCTCCATTTTCTCTCCTTATCTTCTCTCCTCTCTCTATCCCTCTTCCCCTATTTTCATCTTTTTTTTGTGTGTTTTTCGAAAGAAACAGTTTGAAACCGTTACGTAACGGTGCGTAACAGGCCGTTACGACACTGTTACGACCGCTATGGCGGCCACTACGGCCGACACACCTGTGAATCTCAATCACACTGCAAAAGCGGCCGTAACGGGTGGCGGTAAACGCCAAAACCGTTACGTAACGGCGTTACGTAACGGTTGCGGTCGCTTTTTAAAACCTTGTCTAACTCTAATCATTTTAACGGCGGGTCTATTCATTTTTCACCTTTACTTTTCTTTTTTTATTGTTAAACATTTATAATTTATCAAGGCTCCTTCTAATAAAGAGATTTCTTGTGTATGACATGAGATTCCTATTCTATTTATGTGGTAAGAGTTAATCATTTGACAAGATATTTGATATTAAAAAAATATATCTTCTGTCTTATATGGTGCTATAGCGAGAATGAGTTACCTAGCTCTAACCATGTGGTAGGGAGTTCTTTTTTTTTTTTTTTTTTTCTTTGCATTTTTTTTTTTTTTTTAATAACTAAGAGTTAACAAACACTTTACTACTAAAAAGATATGTCGATTCTTGTCCCATATGGCGAGGTAGCCATCACTCTTTTTAATTTAAAACAATAGACAAGACATATATTGTGTTTCACACAAAATAATCAATCGAAAAGTTAGGTATTTATTACTAAAGAGAAATATCTTGTGTCTCGCATAGCATAAGACCTTATCACTACAATAAAAAAAGAATTTTATGGTGCCAAACGCACGTTGTGAATACGATTCTACAACACACAAAGTAACGTCATATTATGATGGAAAATCATTCACTTTCAACAACATGCCATAACATGCCATTAAAACTTTTAACAACGTATCTTATACGTCATGTTTAATTTTTCTACGATTACTTTTGCACGTCGTTAATTCAAAAGACAAACCATGACGTTCAGTGCTAGTCATTAAATATTTAACACAATGGCTTATTCATCGTAAAATATGTTTAGTTTTTTTTTTTAATTCAACAGGTTCTATTTCACCTGTTTTATACAATCTAAAAAAATATTACAAACAAATTTTACAAATATATATATATATATATATATAAGTATCAATCAACCACCAAAATATTATTTCAAAAAAAAAAAAAACTATTTATAAGTTTCGAACATCCAAAAATTGCCTGTACATTACAAACCATCCAAAAACTACGGTTCTAAACATCATATTAATAAGTCATTTTGTGCCTCTGCATATTCAGTATCACAAAACTGTACGCTAACCACAGAACAAAGCATAACTCATAATAAAATGGTTCTAAAAAACAAATGCAGCCAAATTCATCAAAGATTGAGGAACATCATGATATATGGTAAATTCAAGATCCAATCCGGTACCAATTACAAGTAAAATGCTTCAAGGAGAATCACAAAACATAATATGGGGATGATGGTTACTGAAATAAAAGGTTGTACTTGCTTTGTTTAGAATTCGACGCTCCAGATCCACCTCTAGATGCAGAAATTGCACTAGTGTTCACTTGATCTTCTTCTGGGCCTAAGCTGCAATACCGAATATGATATCAGAACCAATAAACCAAATACAAAAAAGTGTTGCAAGGAGAACTACTTCAGATAAGAACTCAAATTTGGTGTGTTTAGTAATCTATATTACATTGTGAATCATAAATAAAATATTTAAAACTTGGCAAAACACATAACAGTTGAAGAATTGAAAAGTTAAATTAACAAGTAATTCAGAGCAAAGCAGAGTAAAAAGCCGGATGCTATGGACATACTTCTTCCGGCAGTTCACAGCCCTTGGATGCAAGCGAGCATAGCATCTAGCATGAAAGAGAAAAAAAGAAAGAGAAAAAAAAAAAAAAAAAAAAAAAAAAAAAAAAAAAAAGGCTAATGAATATTTAACAAGAAAACAAGAGCATAAATAATTTACCAAGACAAATGGTCATAAAAAAAAATTACCAAGACAACATATACAAAACTAATAAATTGAGGAATGAAATAAGCAGAACCACTGATAGAAGAAGGCAGATTGAGAGAAAAAATAAGGCAGAAAGAGAGTGGAAAAGTAAACAGTCCAAAAAAATGTAACAGTTATTGCAGAATGTGGCAGATCTTGTAAATTGATCCGACACTTTAAACATGAAAGTCATAATACCAGTAAAGTTGTTTAAACTCCACAAGGCACTGCTTAAACTTCAAATGATTCTATATCAAACTCAAAAAGTGAAAAAGATCAATGCATGCTATTACCATACAATACTGTTGAAGGGGCAACTCGTAGGATAACCTAGTGATTGACATATGGCAACGGGCACATATACATCCAGTTTAGGTGTATGTTAAAATAATAATTCAAAATTTGTATAGACTTTTTCTCCTCCCAGAAAATGAAAGGCTAGACAATCACCACCATCATAGTTTACCTATCGGCCCTGTGGTCCTTAATTTGAGTGAACATTTACTTTATCTTATCAAAGAAACAATGACAAAAGTATTGAAATGTAAATTCATTTTGGGCCATCAGATCCAAACAGTTTTCAATGACCAAAATTATGATGAAAACTAAAACTAACTACATGAACAGCCAGTATTAGATCAGCCAGTATTGAAATTTCACTAGTGTTCAATTGATCTCTTTCTATTTTAGGTTTTTCATTAGGCATGATTTTGTGGAAGAAGTAGGAGGTTAAGAATACACTTCCTGCAGTGGGCATCATTATTGCAAGGAGGATAGTTTCAGTTCAAAGAAAAATATCTTACAATCTAACCATCCACATATAAATTTTCACTTAAATCCAAGTTGATGTTTGTGGATAGTAACATCCAATTTTCACTTTCTGTTCTGCCAGACATTTAAACATAGCACTGAAGAGTATATTTATATTCCAAGAAAGCTTTAATATGTATAGTACCAGGCTATGGAATTCAAAATCTAAAAAAACATTGATCTATATGCATATGAAGAGAGAGAAAGAGAGCATTTTCTTACTATGTGGATTCCAGTTTTCAGTTCTTTTGCAGTGTCCCTCGTTTCAGTTAGTAAACAATCAGTAGAATTCATAATTTGCCTTATTCCAAGCCATATTCTAATGCGGCCATCTGCTGTATTATGGTGCTTCTCATACAGTTTCTTTTGAGACTGTACACTTAAAGTAAATACATTATTTTATACATTGATCAAATAATAAAATATTTCAAGGATAGAAATCAAAATACAACAATTTTAAGACTTCCTTAAATGAAGAGTAACTTAATAAAAGTTTCCATTTGGGATTCCTTTTGTGTATGGGTGGTAAGTGCATGAGCTTATGAACTAATCAATTGGGTGCAGTTTTTTGTTGCGAATGTTTAAAATTTTTGTTCTTCAATTTTGTTTTGTCACCAAAAAAGATCATGATAAAATCTGAGGGGGCACTCACAGGATGGCATCATAAGGAGTCAAACAAAATAGTTTTCTGGTGAGAGTAACAACACCGGACTATTTTCCTTTGGCATTAAAAATAGAAATAACATAGCTATGGCCTTCCATGAGGCGTCAAGCTGCTCATACCTCTCACCTCCATAGCCTCCTCTTTCAGCAGCTTTCTGGAAATTTCAAATTGACCTTTTCAGTTACCCTGACAGCAGTTTTAAATGGTGGACATACACACAGGAAACTGATAAACTGTTTCTCTTCATTTACACCATATCATGCAACAAAAACTTAACAACTCATGGGCGAATCAAGTGTTTTTCAACATGACATTCAGTTCACTAATACTTTGTTATAAGGCTGAAATCAGTCTTAAAACAGATGATCTCAACAGCTAAATCAATGGTTGTGACACCCCAAATGTTTAATTAATTTTAACACTAAGTTAATATCACCATATATATATGACCATATGTAGCCATTGAGGAAGGTAATGTAAATATAATTTTATAGGGTCAAAGAAAAAAAAAAAAAAATTTTGGTTCATGTCCTGGATAAGCCTTGGAATCTTGGATAAGGCCAAGGCTTATCCAAAACATATCCAAAGCAATAATGAAGGGTGGCAACATGTTAATAGCCCCATTGGTTAAGCCCATGTATAAATAGAGAGGGTAGCAACAAAAGTGAAGAAAGACAACAAGAAATAAAAAGAAAGAGTGAGGAGGGAGTTGCAGTGAACGCAAGGGGTTAATATTAAGTTGAGTTATATATATTATAGATTGAGTTATCATAATATATTTTACATATGTTTTGAATTACCATAATCTATTTTATACAAGTTATGTTTTATAACTTATATTTAGATTTCACGTACATTAATTATTTTCCGAACTCCATTTGCTTAAATTGAAACCCATGAATATGTTTATTTAACTTAAATAACTATCCATGATTATTTTGTGCCCTCTACATTCTTGGCATAATATTTCTTACTCTACTGTGTGCTTATAGTTGTTACCCTTTTCAAGTGAAGAAAGGTAAAGAAGAACTATAACCTCATATAGTGGGACCCGCACGGAATTTGATGCTGACCTATTACACTTTCTTTTTTTTTTCCCCCCTAAAATTTTGTCACCGCATAATAAAACAATAAAAGCCCCATAGATGTATTTTCGATCATTAACGAAGTAAATTTTCTGTTTAATTATTTTCTTACTTCCATTCTGCCTCCGTCTGCGCCATTTAATTTGCTTAGATCAGAATTAATTAGTAATTTACAATTCTAGCCCTAAACCCCTGGGGTTAGGTCGTGACAATGGTCATCCTTTATTTTACCATATGGAATGAGGAATGATGACCAATAAATTGATTAAGGATCATCACACTCTGGACCAGGACTTCCTAGCTATGAAGCACGGGTGCGGGTACAAGTACGGTACGGGTACGTCGATACGGCAAAATCTCAAAAAAGTAGGGTACGGGTACGGGTACGGCTGCGGTACGCCAATTTTTTTTTTATTTATTATTTATTTTTTATAATTATGGTTAAAAGATCCAACCTACAAATTGAAGTTAAATATCAAAACTAAAAAGAGAATTATAAAACTAAAAGACAAATTAGATAATGTTAATAAAAAAAAATTAATTTGGTCGAAGAAGAAAAAAAAGTTAGATAATGTTAATAATCAAAAAAATTAATTTTAATCTAATTAACTTCAACATCATATTATAAATTAGAGAAAAAAAAATTAGAACACAGACGAGGGTTAATAAATTAGATCAAAACTAAAAAAAAAGGGTCGAAGTCGATTATAATTTTTGATTATTTTGTGTTCCCAATATCAACATCAAATTATAAAGAAGAAACAAGAAACAAGAAAAAAAAACAAAAAAAATAAATAAAGATGAAGAGATTATACCTCTCTGAAGGTCGAAGTCGAAGTCTCTAGGTCGAAGTCGCAGACGAGGGTCGAAGTCGCAGACGAGGGTCGAAGTCGCAGACGAGGGTCGAAGTCGCAGACGAGGGTCGAAGTCGATCTCTGGTCGAAGTCGAAGACGAGGGTGATGGTCGAATCTGTCGAAGACGAGGGTGATGGTCGAAGTCGAAGTCGAAGTCGAAGATGAGGGTGATGGTCGAATCTCTGGGTCGAAGTCGAAGACGAAGGTGATGGTCGAAGTTGCCTCTTTGCTTCGATGAGATTAGGGCAGAAGTCGAAGTCGAGGGTGATGAGATTAGGGCAAATTCGTATATACATTTTTTTTTTTTTTCTCTTAATATTGCTCCGGTACCCCTCAATTCTTCACAAAATTTTTTTCCCCCCCCCGCCATACCCAAAACGCACCAAAGGTGTACCCATGCCGTACCCAACAGAGGCAGGCGTACCCGGTACGTGTGCAGCCGTACCGGTACGCGTACCCGCACCCGGTGCGTGTACGGCACTATTTTTGAAGTACCCGTGCTTCATAGCTTCCCTGTATATGAAGCCAATAGAAGTTTTTTATTTTTTATTTTTCTTCTTCATTTGTGTTTTTATTTATTTATCTGTTTGTTTTTGTCTTTTTTTGGATTGCCCGGGGGGGGCGGTGGGGGGGGCGCAGCATTAAAGGGTGGTTGAATCTAGTAGTTTTGTGTGTACTCCACCTTGGAAAATTATATTGATGTGGCTTCCAAAACATATCAATTCACAACCCAGTCCAATTTTTTCCTCAAGCCATCCAAAAAGCAGGCTTTTTAAATCAAACTGCAAAGCTTCACAACATGGTTGAGATCTTAAAGTTATCCTACCCTAATTTCACCAACAAACAAGATAATAGAACAAATTACCTCTGGCGGTATTTCAAGGTATAATACCAAATCTGCTGCCAGTAATCCCATCTCTGGTGCGTGCACAAGGATTTAGTTTTCCACTACTTAAAGGAGATAAAAGAGAGCCCAAGGGGGGGGTGGGGGGAGTTCATAATAGTTTCAAGCATGCCTTCACACCTTACACCATTCAAAGTCAACTAACCTGTGTGCATGATTTTGAAATTGAAGTTTTGATATTAGGGAGTACAATGTTTCTTTTTGTCTTTTACTCACTTGAAGTCTTGAAGACAAGCAAAGATCAACAAACAAACCAACCCACCACCCTACCCACACAAAAAATCAAAATCCAAAGAACCAAACACCTAAAATGCACAGTACAAAAAATAATTATCGTATAGAATTGAAACAGCAAACAGTTTTTTATTTTTCACACATCAATCAATGGAATCAAGAGGCGAAACATTTGGGGGTTTTAGATAAAATTCTCACTATATATATATATGGGTTTAGAAAACATCTTACCAGTGATGCTTTTGATCAAATGAAGCAGTGTACCAGGCAAATACCCTTCTTCGCTTAGTGTATCTCTGTTTTGCTTCTCTCTCTCTCTCTCTCTCTCTCTCTCTCTCTCTCTCTCTCTCTCTAGAGATTGCGGCTGAGCTCCTGCAGATTTGCTTCCATCGAACCCTTCCCTGCGCCTTTTTTGAATCTCGAGTGAAAATCTAGACAAAAAACCCCTTTCTAAGAAATGTAGAACCCTTCTCGATGAAGAACGAAGCCCTAGATGGATGAAGATTAAAGGAAATTGAACATTAGCCAAATCAAGTGCACAAAACAAGAGTAAAACCCTAGAATTTTATAATCTCCTGATCCTAATCAAATAGTCCTACATTCAAGAAGAAGCAGAGAGAGAAATAAAGAGAGAAGGGAGAGAGTAACGCTAGCCTTCTACGTTCCTTTTGATTAGAAGCGAAAGAGGTCATGCATTTTGAATTTTTTATTTTGGAAAAGAAATTTCTAATCATGACAGAATTTTTTTTATTTTGTATTTTGTATTTTTTTTGGTAATTGGCATGAGAAATTTTATTTTGGCACTTATTTTTTTCAATTATATCATTCATGACATAAATTATGTATCAAAAAAAGTGTAATATTTTTAACGGTTACGATTGGCATACGTGTGTCGTGTATAGTTAATATATTAATAACATGACATATACATGTCATAGAAAATTTTATTGTTATGGCTAACATTGCAACATTAGAAGCCAAAAATGTATACGTAACATTAAAGCGATGTGCTTTGTTTTCAATTATAATATGTTATATAATTATGAGTGATGTTATACATATCTACATAAATAAATATATATATATATATATATATTATTAATTTTTATATCATTAAACACAAATGTAACATTAGAGCCACTTATTTCCATGCCATGTCTAGTTATAAAAATGTAACGCCCCAATTTCCTATGCTCAAATAATAGCACAACCATCATGGCTCCTTAAAGGAAAATAGAAATAATTCTCCACACTTGCATTACATGGTACAATTAATTCCTCAATACAATTATACGTTTAATCCAAAACCAAATAAATAAACAAATACATACCCCCAAGGGTTTACAAGTTTCCAAGGTTTAGGCTCGGTTACACAAAACGGTTATTTAAACCCACACAAAATGCAACCCTTGGCTTACAAAATAGAGTCACGCAAAATAAGAGCATTGTACTTCTAACACACATACTTCCACATCTTTTCCTACACAAAAATCCCGTAGGGTGAGCATAAAGCCCAGTAAGAAATTCTTAACAAAGTATATACATTTTATATAAGTCTCAAGAGATGAAATGCACATGCCATGCTATGCTCTTTTTGAAGATAAATCACATTTTTATCTTTTGAAAACCATCATGCTCAATGATGTCATGCAATTTTAATTGTTCAAAACTTAACAACTTACTTCAATGGCTGTAAATAGGACTCTGGTAATCCCTAGGTTAGTGTCTGTAAGTAGACTATACAAGTATTACCAAATTGTCAATTTTACCGGTATTAACTGGAATGTTCGACACCTATCCGCTTAGGTTTTCAATCTTTCACCCCGGACTCGCAGGCCAACTTATTCAATATCATCTACACCACCTATCAAAACTTACCAATGTATTTATCCCAAAACCATTTCATGAAAACTTCTTTCTCAACATTCTTTTCTCAATACAAGTTTTCAAATCAACTTTCAAAGTTTAATGTAATCAAATGAATTGATATGCCAATTTCAGAAGATGAATATAAATACTTTTATTCTAATTCATCATCCAAGGAATAACACAATTCCCTTTTCTCAAGTATCCTCAACAATTAGTCATTTCAAGACTATTTCAATGTTTTGAACAATAATTTCCAAAATGAACAACAATTTTCATATTCCATGAAATTCATCATTTATATAAATATAAATAAGAAATTTTCCAAACATCCATTTATTTTGACACAAAATGAATATAACAATATCATTCATGGATTTTCAATCTCTTTTAAAGATTTTCAATTTCTAGGTTTTCTCACCAAAACTATACAACCCAAATCTTTTGAGAGAAAACTTTCTAAAATCATCTTTTCTTTAATCAACAAAGATTAAGACCCATAAGATCATTCTAAAATAACAAGAGACAAACCCACTTTCAAAATTGCTCAATTTCTTGAATCAACAATCAATTTTCAAAAGCTATCAAAGGATGATTTTGAAAATCATCTAGACCTTGCAAAAATATATATATAACTCAAAGAAGATCTCTACCTCAAGTATGAAGAAGAATAGAGATGAAATCCCAAAATCAACGATGCCTAAACTCGATCTTCACCGCACACAACGAAACCCTCGAGATGATAACCCACTTTGATGAAGAAGTAATGGCAAAACTCAAATGGATCTTGAGAAATCAAGATTTTTGATCTAGTTTGTGTAGAGAAATGTACAGAGAAGAGAGAGGAAATGTTTTTAGAGAGAGAGAGATATATACAAAAGTGATCTGAAATATCAAATTCACGAACTGATATAACATGGTCTGCTTGAGCATGAAAAGCCCCACTCGAGCGTCGAATACACCTTTCCAATACTTTTGCAGACAGGTCAAACTTCTGGAACCAAATATTCTCTGCTCGAGCGCATAAACGGCCGCTCGAGCAGACAAGCAACTTCGAATGCATTTTGCTTTTTTGGTTCAGGGGTGCTGCCCCTCAACCCCGCTAGGGCTTTGCCCTCGAACCCGCCAAGGAGCGTTGCCCCCTGGACCCCTACGAGATGACCGGGCAGCTCGATCCCCGACATAGTCAGTGAAGTGGCAAAACATGAAAGATACGCTATAACCCGATACAAACACATGAGACATTACTTGTTCCAAACACACCGCTACAACCCGATAACCTAAATAAGTGGAATACAGGAAACTAAGATACGGAACACCGTTCAAAACCATACTAACCTGAGCCTGGAACACCACAAAGAGACGGCTCAAAACCAGGATCGCTACAAAAAATGTGTTATGCAGTGATCTCTCCATTGCATATTCTAATTTTATATTAATTAATGATTTTATATACATTTCTCTTACACAGATTGTGAAATCTTTACTTAACATAGTCACTGTGGACAAAAATGCAAAGAATTCGGAGGGCCGAACAACACTTGACATTGCAACCGAAAGAGAAATTAAGGAAGCTTTAGACCATGCAGGAACTTCAAAAAATACATCATTTCTTGAGAATTATAGTTTTGTTGAATTTTTTATGTTGCTAGAAAAGTTTATTGAAGTTTTTATCCGAAAACAGTTTTATGAAGGAAAAGATTTGACAATGGAGTCACAGAATGCAATACTAGTTGTAGCTATTCTAATTGCAATGGCTGCTTTCCAAGCTATACTTAGCCCCCCAGGTGGAGTAGGAGGAATTGAGGGCAACAATAATTAGCTTACTACCAACGAAAACCACATTAACGCCCAAGGTTCTAAATTGCAGTATCGGGTAACGTAACGGTATCGATCGCGAAGTATCGGTATCGGTAGTATCGATCGGTACGTATCAGGAATCAAGTGTCGCAGCGGTGAAATTTTAAAAATCATTTCACAGGTTTTTCAACTTTTTCTTTTTTCGTACCGGTCCGAACCGGTGAGTATCGGCCCGTCACGGCTTGTGTAACGGCTTGTGTAACGGTTACAGACCAATACGTGTCGGGACTCGGCCGATACTCCTGCGATTTTCAATCTCAGCGGTATACTGGCCTGTATCCGTCGCGGTACCCCATTTTTCAGATACGTATCGGCCGATACGTAGCGTATCGGCCTATATTTAGAACTATGTTAACGCCACTATCATGTCCACCACTACCAGCAACAACTTCATTCCTACTTATAACATCAATTATATTAACACCACCATATTCACTAACACCACCATCAATTCCACCGCCACCATGGATCCTTCCAATCGAGTTTTGTTAAAAAAATCTAAGTTCAATCCACTTATTACATACGGATCTTTCTTCATAATTTTGTATTGCTTGAACTCAGTATGCTTTCTTGCTTCAATCACGACGATTATATTTGTCGTCTCGTCACAACATTTGTGTTCCTTGTACGCTCCCCTATTCTTTCTGATTCTGAGCTATGGGATATCATTTCTCGTCATATCACCATTGTCCTCATATGTTCCACCATTTTTCCTTTTCTATGGTTTTTATGTTTTCATTTATTTCATGGCGGCATTTAATATCTCACTTTTTCCATTGATTTTGGTACCAGGACATCAGAGGAAATGCCTTCTGATGCTGCTCCATTTGTTAGAAAGGTCATGATGTAGAACAATGCGCTCAAGACTTTATATATATATATATATATATATATATATATATATATATTATGCTTCAACTTTTCTTTTCTCTTTATTAGCTTGAAGAATAAGATGGTTTTGGGAGGTTTGGTGTGTGGTGGTGTTGTTATTTATTTATTTTTTTCTTTGGCTTTTAGGGCATATCTCGCCTTCATTTTTTATGTTTTTGGTCTTTAAGGTTTTGTAGATGTCTGCGTGGAAGTTTAAGCAAATGTTTGTTTAGATTTCTATTATGGAAAATGTTAGGAATTTCAAATATTTTATTAACATTTTTATTAAATTTGATAAAAATGTTAGTAAAATATTTGGGATCTCTAGTATTATTCTGCTATTATACTACATTGCATATGTGTGACGACTCCACCATAGTTCTAAATCGCGGTATCGGATAACGTAACGGTATCGATCGCAGAGTATCGATATCGGTAATATCGATCGGTACGTATCGGGAATCATGTGTCACGGCGTTGAAATTTTAAAAATCGTTTCACAAGTTTTTTAGCTTTTTCTTTCCCGTACCGGTCTGAACCTGTGAGTATCGGCCCGCCGCGGCTTGTGTAACGGTTATAAACTGATACGTACCGGGACTCGGCCTTTATGCCTGCAATTTTCAATCTCTGCGGTATACCGGCCTGTATCCGTCACGGTGTCCTATTTTTCCGATACGTATCAACCGATACGTAACGTATCTGCCGATATTTAAAACTATGGACTCCACTACGTAAAATAATTAGCATTTAATTAATTAAGGAGAGTTAAATTTTAATTGTCTATTATTCTGATTTAATATGAGATTTATGAAAATTTTGGAGATTAATTCCTATATGTTTCTATCGAGAATTTATATTGGAATTATAAATTGGAAGTCTAAATGGCTCAAGAGAGTATAATTGGTGAATTAAATTATTTTAATTTCGAGTACCAGACCATATGGGAGTTAATTAAATATTCGATTCAGTTTAGTAAAATTGAATTTGATTAATTAGGTCCGAATTTGAGGTAATTAGGTTGTGAAAATTGAGAATTAAGATTATTATGAATTAAATTTATTTATGAAGCGATCAACCCATGTGTTAATTGCGGATTATATGATTTA